ACTGACACTGTATAGATTAGTACAATTTTCCGTCGAAAATGCCGCAGTATTGTTCTGTACCTGGTTGTACCAACTCTGGAGGACACAGATACCCATCTGATTCTGATCTACGACTGAAGTGGCGAGTGGCTGTGCGGCGAGTCGATCCAAAGACTAGGAACTTTGGCAACCCGGAAAAACTGACGTAGTGTGTCAGTCCACTTCACAGCAGATGACTTCACGGTGACATTATTAGGTATGGATCAATAATTTAAATGCAGAATATTTGAAAATTATTGCAATTATTGTTATTCATTTTTTCAGTTCATTCCAATTTGCGTAAATGCTGGATTTATTGGCCGAAGTTTGGATGTTGATGTGATGCACAGATCAAATGAAAACGATGTTTATTATAATATTATTATTCGAAACCGACATTTAGTAGATCAAAATACAAGAATTTCAATTTCATCCTGCTTGATTAATTTGAGAAAGATACATTGTAATCACTTATTGACACTATTATTTAGCAAAGTAATTCATATCAATCAAATATTAATTGCAACATATTTTATTAAAAATTGTTCAATTTATTTCTCAATAATCGCCTGTGGAAATGTTAATGAGATACTGAATTTTATTGCAAGGTAATAATGTTTCAGTGTTAAAATTTGAATTTTCTCATTGTCTTGTTGTTGTTGCATGAGTTCTTCATTGAGCTTTTATCTTTGCAATGTGTTGGTTTTTCTTTATTTAGGAAGTTTCTTTCCCAGAACTGGACCCAAGAACACAAAAAGTGGCACACAGGTGCTTTGAGTAACAGATATGTAAATGGTTTTCATGTATTTAATTCTTCATTTTTATTACTTATTCATATTATTTATATATATCTTAAGTTTTAAATGTGAAGATTTTTTAGTATGTCACACAGTTTATTCATAGTAAAATTTACTGAATAAACCAAAAATATTACCTATGATTTTAACCCATATTCAATGTCAGTTTCCAAGTATTTTCAATTAAATAAACAATCAATTTTGTTTGATTTTCTTCCTACAAAATGATGCTATTACACAATAAGTGACAATCAATATTTAACATGTTTATCATTCATTAACATTCAATGAACTGGGAACAATTAAATTCAGCACTTATTTATCTTTTAGGAGAGAGGAGACGGTTGAAGCTGGACGCTGTCCCTTCCATCTTCACTCACACGACGCGGACATCATGTCGACCCAAGAGGAAACACCAGCAGAGGGAGACAGAAGCCAGTGATGCCACGGAAGATGTTCAGATGGAAGTGGTTGTGGACTCATCTGATTCTATTGTTTCTACCAGTACCACTAATGATCCATTGTGTGACAGTGACCTTTGTGGTAATACATTTCAGGATGAGCAAGTTCAGTGTAACCGTTTGGGTAAATATAGCATTGACATGTATATAAATAATTCTAAGGCTGTCCATTATTATACTGGTTTTCAGAACTATGATCATTTCATGTACTTTTTTCACTCACTTGGGCCAGCTGCTTATGAGCTCAATTATCAATGTGTATCTTTGTCACCTAAAGACCAACTGTTTTTAACTTTGATGAAGTTGCGTCAGGCAAAGGAAGATGTAGAATTGAGTTTGTTTTTCAATATATCAGAGTCCACAGTATCACAAGTTGTTATCACATGGATAAATTTTTTGTATTTTCAATTAAAAGAAGTTAAAATATGGCCATCAAGAGAGACTGTTGATCACCATATGCCTGAAGATTTTGGTAAAAAGTTTGGTACAAGAGTAATATTAGATGCCACTGAAAACCCTATCCAAAAACCATCTGATGTAGATGCTCAGAGTGTAACATGGTCTAGCTATAAGCACCATAATACCATTAAGACTATGATAGGTTGTACACCTAGAGGTACTGTTTCCTTCATAAGTGATTCATTTGGGGGCTCGTCAAGTGACCGTCAAATAATTGAAAAATCTCCCTTAATAGACCCCTCGGTCGGCATGTTTGATAAGAAAGATAGCATAATGGCAGATAGGGGTATATTGGTCCAAGATCTTTTTGCAGCTCAGGATGTACATGTCAATACACCCACAACACTTAAAGGTAGATCCCAACTTGAGCCTCATGAGATTTTAAAAGATCGCAGAATTGCATCTAAAAGAATTCATGTTGAAAGAATAATTGGTCTCAGCAAAACTTTCAAGATTCTGAAAGTAAATCTCCCACCTAGCAAAGTAATGCTTGGATCTAGAATTGTGTATGTCTCCTTTGCCATTTCAAATTTCAGAAATTCCATTGTACTGACTGAGAGTTTAGTTTTACGCCGCTTTTAGCATTATTCCAGCAATATCACGGCGGGGGACACCAGAAAGGGAGAAATTCTATTGTAAATGAGTCTGCTTAGTTTGATTTGTATATACATTGCATTAGTAATGTGACGAAAAATATACCTTTTCATGACCATATTTATGAAGGACCATTTGAAATGGCAGTGCTGTTGAAAACTGAAAACTCTGTTGTTAGAGATATATCAAATATCTGGAGATTCATGTATAAATGTATATCATATATCACTATGATCACATCATTGAAAAGTAGGACAAATAATTGATGCCTTCCTTTTTCAGATAACTGAAACAAAACCACAACAAAATTGATAAAAATATAAGACGACTTTATTACAATATTTACACCAATAATCCAGGTATTGAGCATGATGACATGCAATTGTGAATCCCGCCCCCAATATTACCACCAACCAATATGGTGCCACTGACCAGTTTAATAAGTAAAACTTGAACAAGTGATAACTTCAAAGAAAGGATTGTGATATTCAACATATCAACTTCAAAATGAGGCATCATGGTAGCATTAATGATACAGATTTATGTTAGATTTGTTTATTGCATGCGATCATGATCCTCACCTATCATAGGCAGGGATTTTCCTTCAGTCCTGTATTGGTGTATTCTCTGTCTGCCTGCACTTTAATTGGCTATAAGCAGATTAGGATTAACAGTCTAGTGCCTGCACAATCAGAGTCTGTTCAAGTAAGTGGAGTTCACTTCCCACTCACCTCCAGGCTCACTAACCCACCACACTGAACACAGTTCATAATGATTAGTTAACTCAGTCATTAAAAGTAATCAAATATGACATGTGGCATGGGGTTATAAAACAGTAATTTAGTTTACCAGAAGTCATTCTACAATGACAGGCACATGTTCACTTTGTTCCCAATTCCTGGGGTGCCCAGAGTTAAGTATGCAAGTTTAGAGTCTTAACTGGTACCATCTCACCACTAGTTTATGGTGATGACGTTTCTCATCAGGTGGGATTGTGACTGAGTGTGGTTATTGTCGTATGAAACAAATTATACAATGGTATGTATTTACGTATACTGCTCAGTGCACATAAATATCTATTTCTGGTGTGACATCTATGTCACCGTATTTTCAAAAGACTCATATTTGTATATGAAATGTAAATTGCTGATTAAAAAATTCATCATATTTATTTGTCAGATGATTCATTTTCAAATATTTGTATAAATGCAATATTGTGTATGCATATGATGTTACATGCAATATCAGTAAAATTCGTGTATGGCCATATGCATTAAACAAGATGTGATAAACGTTACTGTTTAATACCTGCAATTGCTGGCATACTTGCATTTCTACTAGAGACGATAGCTTTAATCCCAAGTGTTGTAAGGGTAAGTAATTTTAATCCAGTAATTTTCATCCCTAAACAATATGCGCATGCAAAAAGAGAACACCGCCCTGTATTTGAAGGTCCCTGGTACTCATACTCTTAAATTTTCAGGGGTCCTGGACAACAAAATGGGGGTACCAGACACCTAAATATTATTATCAATGCTATTATTAATGTTGTAATATTGTTGTAATTCAGTTACTGTTATTGCATTGTGCATCTTGGTCATCACATTTTTACAGTACATTAAATTGCAAATAATACATAACCCGGCTAGTAGCAGACTCTGTAATAACTTCTTGTTACTTGATTGAAATTTTACAAAAAGTATTAGGACTCTTTCTGCTTCCCCTTGGAAGCGATATTAATTTTCGTTGCATCCTTTGTCATTTTTATGCTCATAGGATGCAGGAATCTGCATCCAGTAAATCCTGGATAGGTTATGGACCTGAAGTATGTCAGAGGCACAGTCTACTCTGTTACTACTGAATCTGTCAGTGTTAAGTTTTGTAAGTATGTGTTCAAACTTGGGAAATTTACATGTAAAATCATGTATTTATACAACAAAATGTAATGAAGTGCAACACTTAATGTAGGCTTTGTGCAGTTACTGAATAAATATTGTTTGTTAAGATCCTTAAGTCTGAACTACTATACTTAACTGTGTAAATAGAGATATCATGTCAAGAGCATGTCAATAAAGTCAATAATACAGAATGACCAAGATTATTTGTTTTTGTTTTATGACACTAGCAGTGTATCAAAACGTGTGTGGATACAGGATTTACAAGACTGATGCAATGTAAGGTCTAAGATGCTGTTGGTAAAAAAGGTCTAGTTTTGGGAGCATAGAAAGCTGAAAATAGTCATGGTCAAGATCAATCCTTTGAACAAACATATCACAGAGAGTATACACAACAAAAAAACAACATTTTCGTTTGGCAATGTACAATTGTCCTTGAATCTGAGGATAATAATTACTTCTTTGATTCAAACAAATCTTCCCTGTGGAATCATACAAAAGATATGGAAATTTCTTGCCTGGTTTGATCATATCATCACGCCCAGCATAAGGACATTTCACTTCAACCAAACAATTGTCATCTATGATTGCATCTGGAGTTGCACCCAAGAAAGGTATGTCTCTATCAATATAAAATCCAGCTTTCTTAGTCTTTATCCCATGCAATTTTTCAAAATGTTTAATAACTTTTTTTCTCATACTGTTTACCATGTATCATAGGTCTTGAACATGTTTGGCCATATAAAAGTGAATGACATAGTTTCTTTTTATTTCTTTTACTTGTCATTTTGGTGACTTCTCCGAACCGTGATGCTGTTAGTCGCCACTTCCTCCCTATGCCATCTTTGATTATTGCCTTGGTCCCTGGTACTCTTCTCTATCTGGACAGCATCATCTTTTGTGACCTGAAGAAACAAAAAATCAATTTAGTAAACACTATTGTTAAAGTTGTAAGGATAGCTTCATACAATTTAAGGCTATATCAATTACTTATGATAACCATCAAAGTTCACATCACTTAGTAGCTTTATAACATGCTGCTGCTTGTGCAAACATAAACTATTTAAGTTTTCAGTTAGCATGATAGTGGCTTTAAATGCGAAATAACATTCTCAAATTTAATCTGGTTGACATTCAATTTACAAAAAAAATGAACTTTATCAGTGCTAATTCCAGTTTCTGATCATGTCTGGAGTAATTACTGTTGGTTACAAGTGTTATGTTTACCTGCAATGCCCTATCAACCCAGTACTCTGAAAAGGGCTTGTCCAGATAGTCATGGTCCTTCACTGCAGTCTGTAGGTCAGCCTTTGGATGTAAATATCTCAGTGCAAGGTCTTCAGAAGTTGCTGAGCAAAAGTTTACCATCATATTACGAACATGGTCATCAAAGCCAGCCATCCTTCTGTATTTTGGTGGACGCAGGTCTTCCAACATCTTGTCTGACCACTTCCGCTTTGAAGGTAGAGACTCTGCTTTCACTGGGGAACCTTTGTAAGTGGATTTTGGTTTGTGGAAAGTCTGAAGATTCTCTGTGCAGCTCTTCTCCACATGAAGACTGCCTGTTGCAACAAAGTGCTCTGCCATGATCAGGACTGCTGCTATGTGCTTGCAAGTAGCATGGCGACCCTTCCCTGCAGGACATTCACAGTGGGAGATAACGGGAGCACCTGTCTTGTCCACCTTTATTTTATAGTTGTAGCTGACCTTTCAAAAAAGTTTTAGGAGCGGTGACAAAGATGATTTAGGATTAATAATGGTGATAGTTACATACTTAATAACAAAATAGCTTTGATCAAAAGTTGACCTCTGTTTATAAATTTATGCTTAGACATTCACTGTGGAGTTACACTTTTATATTGGAGATTTTTAGTAATGTGGAAAATAATTGCCTTATTCTTCATAGAAGCGCCAACAATTCCACTGAAGTAAGTGGATGATCCCTCAAAATACACGCTGCAAGCGAGGACCCTGTTGGCTGAGAACATCCTTGCCCCTTTCTCCATAGACTTTAAGTCACTGACAGCCTGATTATCTTCAGCCATGCGGAAAACAAAGTATCCCTCCGTCAGCTCCTTGGAGATTGGAGGTAGGATGCTTTGATGCTTAGGGAGAAGCTGCCTAAATCCTGGTGATGGCCACCTTGCATCAAGTGGCTCAGGAAGATGGATGACAGTGCCACGGAAATCATCATTCCGATCCTATGCCTTCAGTCTACAAATCAAATATCTTGTGTTGAAGAAAAAGTTTATCATGATTGATGATGTCACTGCATCAATTAAATTACTGATGAAATATTATTGTCTGACAGAACAATATCTCATTTAATTATTGAATGAAGATGTTTAGATACATACAAATACAAATTTCTTTCAAAAGTTTGTTTATTCTGGAATTCAGCTAGGACTAAGAAATAGCTTTTATAAATGCTGAAACTGCATGGGATATTACTTTCCACAAATATTTTTAAATTGGTATTTGTTTAAACAATACACAAGTAATTTACTGAGGAGTTTTCGACTATTCATGTTTATGTAAACGTTCGATTGTGTTCAATGTTGCTCAATGCGTAGGAAAGCAAAAATGATGTTATTCTCGTATATTAAAGACGAAGTGCAGAAATGACAGTTTCATCTCAATATGGATTGTGAACGGCTTCATGATTGGCTGACAACAAAACGTCGACCAATCAGAAAGCTTAAAAGACCCTGCATGGCTCCGCACATCAACAAACATTCTCACAGTGCGTCAAGCTATCGATGAAAAAGAATATTCATTACCCTCAATACGAATAATATTGAGTTATCGGTTTTCTGAAATTGATTCCGTGATGTATTGACCTAAGACAATGAGTCGTAGAAAATATATGTTTCATACAATGAATAAGGACATTTCTCTACCTTTGCCCCGTGTTCAAAGTGCCAAGTGCCAAGGTTGTACAGTGCACACACCCTACCGTTTGAGTGACATGGCAGTAATGTGTGACAATGCAACTATGTTCGAAAAAATCGCCAATATATTAGGTCTGTATCTATCAAACACATACAAATATCACCGTTACATATATGATCTAGCGTACAAAAATCTGAGTGGAAGACATGATATACGACGGCCGACATTGACAAGTCAGCAGTGAGACACAAATGGAATAAGAAACGCTTTCTAGGTCTGTTGTATTGTTGTTACACTTTTCAAAGCAAATAAATACCTTTCGACAAGATCAGTCTTTCTGCCAGTGGTTGCTGCCTGTCTCCTGATCAGCTCCTGCTTTAACTTCTGAACTGTGAGCGCTTCGTAAGTTGCAGCCATATCGCGTCAGTAGTAACCGAGCTTGGTTTCCGCTCTCGATTCCTCTGAGTTCTGCACGGTGACTGGCGCAACGTTGGCGCAGCGCATAGGCCATAATGAACCAGTACAACAAGATCAGCGCCACAATAACCGATAGTACACCCGCGCCCCCAAGCGGATTAGTGTGGCGGCGAACCCCATTGCAGCAAATCCTGGCTGAATACAATCCGTGTGACGTCTACAACTGTGATGAAACTGGCTTGTTTTACAAAATTGAACCCAATACCACACTGAGCACTTGTCCTGTGTCTGGCAAGAAACAAGCAAAAGATCGTCTTACTGTTATGCTTGTGGTGAACGCATCAGGCACTGAACAACCTAAACCACTGGTAATATGGAAATTTAACAGACCCAGATGTTTTGGTAGAACTTTTGATCCTAATTCTGTGTGCCACTGGTATTCAAACAAGAAGGCTTGGATGACAGCACTGATCTTCAAAGACTGGCTTGTGAAGTTTGATAGGCACATGCGCACACAGCGACGACAAGTGATATTGCTGATTGACAACGCCCCTTCCCATGCCTCGGTAGATCTCACCAACGTAAAGCTTCACTATCTGCCTCCCAATACAACATCCCACATTCAGCCCCTAGATGCAGGAATAATAAAGAATTTCAAACTTCTGTACAAGAAGCAGCAGATGAAACTTCATCTTGACAACGCCAGCGCAGACACGCCAGTACCACTTGATATCAAGCAAGCCCTACTGTTTATCCGATCAGCGTGGAGAGATGTGAAGCAACCAACAATCATCAACTGCTGGCGTCATACGAAAATCCTGCCACCTACTGACAGCCAGATCGAGCCCGATAATGAACCGATTGAAGACGTCCGAGATTTACAGGAAACTCTTGACAAGCTATACCCAGATGCACCCGCACCTGTCAGTGAATTCATAGAATTTGACGCAAATCTGCCATGTGAGGAAGCCATGACTGAAGATGAAATCATCGAGACTGTCCGACCTACTGCCGAAAAAGAAATCAACACTGAAGAAGACCAGACAACCGAGCCAGTCATTCCCAAGCTACCTGAGGTCAAAACATTGTTGAACACTTTACAGACATTTGTGACACACAACTTAGACGTGTTTGATGGGAGTGACCTCGACTTCATCGACACTTTGAAAACTAAAATGCAGAAGACCTCAGAAAAAAATGAACAACAAAAAACCCTCAAAGACTATTTCAAGTTTTAAATTATTGTTCACCAGACATCCATATGTTACTGTGGAACTAGTTGTATGTAAACAGTGACTCATTCAACATCCGGGTCATAATGGCTGCTGAGAGTGAAATAGCGACAATGGTAAAAACAAACGTGAGTTTTGTGCCAATGTGATTTTGAAATCGATACGAAACTGATTGATTATGTGATTTTATATGTACATGTATGTTATGCCATCTATGATTGTTAATAAATGATATCAAGGATGTATTGTTATATTTTTTATTACTGAATGTTTTTACAAACGAAGACGATAACCAGATCTACAATTTCTGATATTTTCCGACATTTTCATTAATCCGACATTTTCGTTAATCCGACATATTTCTCTGCAACCACAAGTGTCGGATTAACGAGAGTTGACTGTATGTGTGATACCAGTTTTCTCACATGGGTTTCTCACCCACGGGTGTGTAAGAAATAACATTCAACGTGAGTAGATTGTCTCTCCAACAACATCATTATTCAGCAAATCCAAAACGTATAAATCATGACAAGTAAATTCTTCTTTGATCTGCATGAAATTCAAACAAATGCAAAATACACTTTCTTATGTTTATGGGCATGTGCCATTTATGTCAAACTACATTCACTGCAGGTAAAAAGTCCTAATAAAATTGCCAGCATTATTGACGTCAAAACAAAAGCTAATGATTAGTTCATACGCAGACTGCAGATATTCTTCAAATACCACACAGTTTGCATATACAGTTTGATGAAAATCCGGTTACGCAAACAATGGTTGTAGTATCAGACTTGGGGATCGAGAGGTCAGGCTCGCTGACTTGGTTGACACCAGTACTGTTGTCTGGTCCATACTCGATTATCTACGGCGTTAAACAACAAACAAACAAACAAACATAAAAATTAGATCAAAAGTAAGAAATGCGTAAATATAAATTAGATCTACTTGGATGAATGTATTGTTCACTGTATTACCTGTTCACGGTAGCAAATCTTATATAATTTAACTGTATCACTGTCACCTTGTATTTCGTAATTAGAAAAAAAAAAGATTTCGTGGCCATTTCGATAATAATTTCTCATGTTTTTTATGGATCATGGCTAAAAGATGACGAGAATCGCGGTAACCTCTTCACTAATGACGCAATTTCGGAAACCGTTGCTATGTGAATTCCATTTTGCATAATCAGTGTTTGGCATGTTAATTTATGTGCAAAAACGGACAATTTCCCGGGACCATACACGGTTCCATGCCTCTAAGAGGGACCATATTTGGCCCGTGTCATGAAGCATGTTGACATAAAGGGGAACGTTTTCTAAGTTGAAAACCTGATAAGATATACTTAAATCAATGCTTATCACCACGTAAAGGCAGGGTTGTGTGGACTTCTTAAAATTAATTGAGTGAGAAAATACAAATTCAAGTTCTGAATGTAGGAATTTATAACATTAATTGACTTTCCTTTAAAATGACCATTTTGTATACATCGATGTCGGTCCACCCCTTCTTTACATACTATTTACTCCAAATTAACCGACAGTTTTCATTCTTTACTGATTTTTTTCCAGATAGTTCATGAAACACCGATGATCACCGCTACAAATTATGGTTAAGTTGTCATTCTACCATTGCTGTGTGAAATGCTCGAATTTGATTGGTCAATCAATAAAATCAGACTGTATCAATTTTGGATTGAAAATGCTGATTTCACTGCGCTTCACTGCGCACATATACAACACTGCCACACTACTTCAGCTTGACCACCAACATGGCTAATATCAACACAACAGTCGTAATGTAAATGTTTACAAAACAATTATTAAAACTCGAAAAATACAATTATATGATTTTTCCTCCACAATTATTAGGGAAACTCACTATCATATTACCTTCTATTATACACACATTCAACCTCAAGTACAATACACAGCCCCAAACATAAACAATATCTAACGGTCTATCTCCATATCTAACTCCCAGTTGTGAGACTCCCAGTTGTGAGACTCCCAGCTATGAGACAGTGGAGTAGGTAATTACTGACTGACTGAGTTTAGTTTTACGCCGCTTTTAGCAATATTCCAGCAATATCACGGCGGGGAACACCAGAAATGGGCTTAACACATTGTGCCCATGTGGGGAATCGAACCCGGGGTCTTCGGCGTGACGAGCCAACGCTTGAACCACTACGCTACCCCACCGCCCCTAGAGTAGGTAATTAACAACGAAAACACACCATACTCCCCTGTCTGATAGAATGGATTCACCCTAGCTAATTACTTATTTGCTATGGAACTGAATCTTGTGGAGGTAACTGAAATGAAACTTTATAAGATAAATTGATTAACATACTCAGGTAAATGTCTTTAATAATCAAACACTTTGTGTAGATAACTTCAAGATCAAAGAGGAATTAATTTACCTACTTAGATCTACTCCGTCTCCGAAACTACAAGTTATAGTTTAAGAAATAACTCTGAAATAACTCTGAAATTTACAGTCGAAATGCCCTTTATGCCAACCCTTTCTACCCGACACAATAAATTTATGGAGTGCCCTACCAAATTCCAAAGATTCATGCAGTCTCAAAGAATTTTAAAACCTAATTACAAAAACCGAAAACAAGATTTAAATTGATCTTCTAAATGGCATTGTGTAATCATACTTAGAGAATAGAGAAACCCAATTTCACCTAACCTCACTTCACCTCTTCTGAAAAAATAAAATATTCAATGAACTATTTCTTCTTTGTAAATATAATCTTTGATAATCTATTTCATTAATCAACTCATCAATGAACTATGCCTCCTGTGGGTACTGGGTTGGGCTGATCCCACTTTCATTGTAGGGATGGGGCACACACCACCTATGTGCACTGAACCATTAATTAATGTGTCTCACAACTGGGAGTTCTCACAAATGGGAGGACACCATATCTAACTTATAAATCAGAAAGCCTTGTAAAAATACACCCTTATATTTACAAAATGTGCAGAAAAACGTTAGTAAACATTTGCCTACCTGGTAAATGGTACATTTGTTTCCGTTTAGAATGGGAAATTCACAAAATAACGGCCGGGCGAAACACCAAATTTATGCCACTCATAGTCCATCATGACCTGTTGCATCGTTCAAAACTAGATGCCAAAACGTGAACTACCAGAAATCTGCTCCCAACATGGGTATACTGCGCGAAGCCCATTTCTGATATCCCCCGCCATGCCATTTCTGGAATATTGCTAATAGCCAACTCACTACTCACTCAATGAAGAAATGCCCTTCTTTGGCATCTGTGTTATGCACAGTTTCTCACAGAAAAGATCCAGTCGTTGTACCCCGTGCATCTCATGGATGGTGGCACGTCTAGATACCCGGATTTTGAAAGGTGGCACGATGGATGCCCGATAAATTTCTCGAAGGTGATACAAGAAACCTCTTCTCTCTAAAGCACATTTCAGAACATTTCTTTACATTTTTAGTCAATTTTATTCTGTCATTGTTGTCAACCATAGCCAGGCCTCGGTATGTCGTGAATCCTCTACCATATGTGTTGCAGCCTGTGGAATAGATTGAAAAATTATATGAAAAGGGATTGTGTTCATAGGACATACAAACTCTCTTCCTGCAAAGCTCTTCGTTGTTATATTTTAAGTAAACCACGGTTATCAGAAAATTTAGCCAATCATTTCACAAGAATCCCGGTATTTCAGTGAGCTAAATGTCACTAATACAAACATTATGTGCGCTGAAACAAAATGTAATTACAGTTCTTGTCACCCGTCAATATCCAGTACGTGGTTTCCGAAGACCGAAGCCCGAAGCCACAGAGAGTTGCTTTATAACCTCTCGTTTAGAAACTGACTTACGTCTCACACAGCTGTTGTTGGCAGGGTTGAAGCTGTACCCTGGTATACATTTGCAGGTCTTCGTGAAGCAGACAAACTTCCTGACCGCTGAACAGTCGGAGTCCGTGAAGCAGCTCGACTCCAGGGTACTGCTGACAGTGGGACCTGTGAATGTTGGGCTGCATTTTGTTAGAAAGTTACATGGCATGGTTAAACTGTACAGTTTAACAGTTTGTATTGTGACGTGGTATAATTTTGTAGTCGGGCAAAACTTTTATTGTTGTCTGTTCAGTGCTTTTTGTAACGGCAATGTCGAACACATATGAAATATGCAATGTCGAACACATATGAAATATACATTTCCAACATGCCACATGCTTTTGTTGAACTTACTCAAACTCATCTACCCGCTCTCCCTCTTCTAAACCATGTCCTGCTTGACTTGACACAAGGGACAAGTACTTCAAAGTAATAGCGATGAAGGATCTTTTTAATAATGTACATGTTTATTTAATCATTGAGTGTTTAATGAAATTGAATTACTTGATAAATATTGATTGTTATTAGCATATCAATTTTAATTTGTGAGAATGAATAAATAATTTCGATTATAAGAGGCTATACCTTCAAAGGGGGTTGAAGTAGCGTAAAATTATTGTCCCCCAGAGAGGGTATGTAAGTCCCATTTCATTCACAGTATTTTTCATTGTCCGTGATTTTAATCGTAGTATATATGTATTTTTAAATGTATGGTTAAATTGTGCAAAAATCACCAACATCTGTAGGAATTATGTAAATCCAGTTAGGGTCCATGTAGGTGGCAGAGCTACTGTAAGTCCCCATGGTCCCTAGTATTGCGAGCTACCTTCAGTTGATGGCGATCTATAGCCCGGTTTTTATATTGTATTGTTCTGTATTGTAATAAATGTTTTATGCTTACATGCTAGTTTAACTTTCTATCTCTGATAGCTTATTTGTTTTACTGTCCTTTGTTGATTTTACAAAATAACTTATATGTATTATTACAGTATATATTGTTATGGTCCCGATATGGCTGCAATATGGCCGATGTGACTCTAAATCTTAACTCACTCACTCACTCACTAACTCACCTTCATCTACAACCTACTTTACACCTGGTTGTGGCGGTGCAGCCTAATGGTTAAAGCGTCTGCTCGTCACGCACAAGACCTGGGTTTGATTCCCTATATGTGTACAATGAGTGAAACCCATTTTTGGGTGTCTCCAGCTGTGATATGCTGGAATTTTGCTAAAAGCGGCGTAAAACATACTCACTCACTTCTTTACACCTTCATCCTCAGCTACGTCTTCACCCTCTTGTACATCATGACCCTCATCTCCACACGCTCACCCTCGTGTACATCTTTAGCCTCTTCTACACCCTCATCAACATCTACGTCTACACCTCATTTACAGCATCACTTTCATCTCTACACCACTAACATCAAGGCTATACGTGTGTTATATGGCAATCATCAAACAAGGTCTTGTTGCAGCTGCATGTCGGCCATAAAAGGAGTCTTACCTTCCACACAGACTGCACCACCGCCACGTCTTTCCACACAACGTGTGTTCAATTGACAGTCCATCGTGGAGCACGCACCTCCTGAAATCTAAAACAAACATACCCAAGGGTTACTCTTGTCAAGGGTGTGATGTAAAGCAAAGTACTGAGTGTGAAAATCAGTTTCTTTATTATAACTACTTTAATTTCTCAGAACTACTTTACCATAGCTAGTAGTATATATAATGGGGGTATGAGATCAAGTCCAACAAAAGCCTCTGCAAAGCCTTATTTCACAAATAAAGCTTTTGTCAGGCCCTTAGATCCCGCCTTAGATCTACTACTTTTGAGCCCCCAGTTAACTTCCCGGCCACACATGGCAGTACTGTACCGCTATGACGTGTGAAACAGTTTAATGTTTGTACCCCTTGTTCTATGTACTTTTTTTTCTTGTCTTCGCCGATAGCAGACTTACAAGATTTGAGCCGGATTTCTTGTTTCATCTTACGGTATTTGTCGAGTTCAGAGAGGATTGAGCGAGATTCCTCCTCTGAGATCTTACTGTCAGTGAGTGCTGTGGAAATACGCTCACTTACCGTGTTCAGCTTTGCTTCAGCCAGAATCCTGATCTCGTCGTGTTTCAATGCCTTCCGGTGCAGTCTGCGTGACACAAACTTAAACACCAATCCAGCCAACCCTGACACCCCAGCTGTTATTTCGATGCCTAGCACTGCGGGTGCGGCTATGATGGTGGCCAACAACCCCATACCTACTGCCCCTAAACCCATACTGGGCGGCCATAAGGGCGGTATCAACATCATCCACGACATTGAAAGCTCTATGGTACTTCTTATACAATGCTGCCCGTGTGTCGCGGTCTTGTTCTAGTTGGCGTTTTATGTCACATAACTGTTTCAAGCGGAACTCCTCTATGGTTTCCAGTGGCTTCGGGGCTTCCTCCTCGACTGGGTACAGCCCCATCTTGTGTGCCTATAATATATCTTACCAGATATTTTTTAATTGGGCTTTTGTTAATAGTCGGTCAATGTACTTGAGGCTTATAAGGTTTAGATCCGGGTGTACGAAGATACTGGAAACTATAATAGGGGACTTTTGGGCTATACCAAGCCCGGGCAGGTCTATCGAATAGAGAAGTAATGACCGTTGGGCCCCCAATTGTATGACGATACGGCAACGTATGGGGGACGATACGGTGTCATCCCAATATACTGACACCCCAGGTAAAAGTTGCAGGCCTGAATCCCTAACAGTACTACCCTTTAGCATGACTTCTATCATGAGTGTGGCGCCTGATGCCATAACTATTAAGTTATCGGACTTCAACTCTGACTCCATGGGTGCAATTAGCAGGTTGCCCGGGTGTTGGAAGTTTGGGAAAACTTGCACCTCTCCATAACTCAGTATGAAAGACATGAGGGTGTAGCCGGTGTTCTTAATTTCGGTGACATGCCCCTCTTTATTTAAAGAGATATAAGGTGAGGATTATGTTGATCATCCATTTGGTTTCTTTAAAATCTGATAACGACACCCGCCTATACACGTTGTCTTTCAAGTGTAGGACGTACAAGGTGTCTTCCTCACCAAGCTGATCGAATCTCTCCGTGTCCCCTAGGTCGTTAAGTGTAGCGTTGGGGTGATGACTGGTCATTGCTATAATGCTATTACGAGATAATTTCCAACTGTTTTTCTGATAATAGTTCAGGGGTGCACTTCACTCCCATAAAGTGTATGTTGTCGGGTAGGAAGATCTTGGTTAGTGATATCGTGTCTTCCACGATAACGGTGACTCCCTGCAGACTGGTTTTGGAGTCGACACCCATCCGCACGTAAACGGTGCAAACGTGATACTGATGTCGTTTCCCCCACCCGAGTTTGATCCCCTTCACGATTTCGACTTCACCCTGCGATGGTTCCCCTAGGTATACTTTGATGATCAGAGCGGCATTCTCCAGTAGGCTCGCCAGGACGTTGACCACGCCAGCGAATTCAGACACAAACTGCAATGTCACGTCTTGCACTCCCGGTTTACTTGATAGCATGTGGGCTGCCATACTGGCGACTGGGCTGATGACTACGCTGCGCCTCTGAGTCGGGACGTAAGCCACGAGCAGGGTTCCGTTGTTCACGACTTTGTTTAGGTAGTTGTCTTTGTTATCCGTGAACACGTAGGGGGAGCAGAGCCTAATATTGAGAAACCAGTCGCCTTTATCGGGTAACAACACCCACTTGTCATCTTCGGTGAAGACGAGCGTATATGGCTTGTTTCGGGCGACGGTAGTGCTCTCAACATCTTCTAAGTCGAACAGTTTGCCCCCGAACGAATGGTATATTATCCATTTATCATCACCCGTGTTGACTAGGGTGTACCGAGTGTTGACGACCGCTCTTGAGGTATCTACGATATCACCTAGGGCTCCACCGGAGGGGACTTCAACGCATTTGTAAATGTTGTTTTTCAGTTGCAAGGCGTACAATTTACCATCTATTCAGGGGTCGTCTAAACCGCGTGTGTCCCCGAGGTCGGAGATCCCCGTATTGATACATTTTTTCAACCTCATCCCGGGGCCTTGTGCGCTGGTCATTTTATGTAAAGCATTATGCTGAGGTATCCTATATTCACAGGATTATGATTTATATCTAACACTGATATTATCAGCTCAAGGATGTTGCCCTGGGTTAACCTCTTATACTGCCACGGTGAAAACGACTCGGTTCTACCGTCGTTGTATTTCTCCGTTTTCATCGGTACTGCTCTCAGTATCGTGGAAGGGTGACCCCCTTGAATGTTGTCCGTTGTGCTCACCTGGCCGAGATGAATGCACAGCTCTCGGTACGGTACTAGGTCGGGTAACTTCGTGCCTGTGATGGTAGTCGTTGATTTCATCTCGTCAGGCGACATACCAAGTGTCCTCGCCAATGGTCGGCCGAGCCTCAAAGAGTTTCTTCCGTTGTTGATTAACACCACTGTGCCGTTTGAGTCATTCATCTTGAGTTCGGCTCCCAGGGGCTTGAAGACCTCGTCGCTTAGCGAGCACACGCTGTAGTAACCGTCAGTTATCTGGTTGCGAGCTCCACTGACGAACAGCTTATTGTTGTTGGCGTTGATGTTAGTCCATCGCGGTAGGTAGGTGATATCGCAGAGTGCGACTTCGAGTTGACCCGACGTGTTATCGATCGCATGCATCAGCTGAACGTTCGCCCCTCGTTATTCCTGGAAGTGTTATGTACATGTTAGAGTATATATGCTCATTATATAATAGTATTAAAATGTACTCCCCTGGGGTGTTTTACCCTAAACTGGACATAGATTTTCCGCACAAGATCGTGGTCGCTAATGGGCTGTATTTCGACGCCCAGTTCATAGATGTATTCGACCGGTATAGGTTTTCAGTGACTAACGCCAAGGTAGTTCATGCTTGGTTCAACAAACCGATGCAGTTCTGGCAGAATCAACTCAACTTCGTCGTGGTGCGCTACAACGGGTTGTGGTGTGACTTGGACCGACACTAGGCGTGGACCGCTTAGTCAGTCTGTGTTCACGTTTCACGTGTACTACCAGATCAGACGTATCCTCAATGAGATCAGCGCCCTGCTCCCACAGGACAAGGCATGGAACGCAGTAAATAACCAGTACGATAGACGGGCCTACGAACGTATTTGCAACGAATTCGAACTAAACCCGAAGACGGATTGGCGTTTGCCGGGACCGAACCACGGGTTGGGTATCCCCATCGTTCACAACATGCCTCTTGTGGATGCCAGCGAGAAGATGAAAGAATGGGGTTACAAGTCGTATCATCACCTCACAACAAACGAGTGGGATGACCGTTACTGTTCGACAACAGCAAGGATTACCGAGTCTGGAGGTTCAAGCAGGGGGCAGCGGATGACTGGAAAAAGTTCATGTTGGACACATCGAGAGGGTTCACTCTTGCCGGCGTAATCAGGTGGGCGCTGTTGGGTGCGCAGACGCAAACGCGTTCCAACATCCTCGGTAAGGGGACTGCTTACGACGCTCAGAAACAGTTCGTTGTTAAAGTTGAGGATGCTATCAATGCTCCAGTTGATCTCCCGAGTGCCATCAAACGCTACCAAGACGTGTTGGAATACGCCGGTCGAAAGTCGACTACGTCTTTGACGTGGGACTGTACATGGCTCCGAGCGATATGCAACTGAGAGTAAAAAAAGTGGTGGGCTACAACAAGGAAATAGTCATAGCCACGGCAGACCAACAGTTGGGCGTCAACCCCGATGTCAACGTCCCCCACATCCCACCACCCACGACCGGTGAAACGGGTATAGTGGCGCCACCCCCGGAGTCCAGGGTTCAACACACACCCCCACAGCCCCAGCCTGCACACGTTCAGGCGCCCAATCAGCAGCACATGGATCGTAAAACAGCCCTGGTGGTTGGTGGGGTTGCGGTCGGGGGTGGGGCTTATTTGGTTAAAAATTCCTTAGCCGCTACGTACACCAAACCCGCCACGGTGACGATGGCTGCCCACAGGTTTTGACCGAGCCACGTGACAGTTTTAGTCAGAGCGCTCAGCAGCCACGAGACGATGCTACCCAGGATGCCGGGCAGGGCTTCGGCGGCCTTACCAGCCAGTTTAGCCAGGGCCTCCCCGAGGGATTTCAGGTGTTTTTTTATCCAGTCTTTGACGCCCCCACCACTTGGTGGTGTTGCTGTGCCACTGCCGCCGGCAAGCGTCAATGACACCACCAGGGTTGATATGATGAAGCCCAATGCAGTCAGAATGCTGGCGATGGTAATCCCTTGCTCTTGGAATAGGATTTGGATCCTGTTGGCCAACGTGGTGTCCTCATTTAGGACTCGATCGATGGTTTCCCGTACGCGACTGATCTGGGATCGGAGGGCTTCCCGGTTCGAGGAAATACAACGTTTCATATCATCGTCCTCCGTTTCGGTGAGTTTTATTTTCTCACGAGCGATGTGCTCGTCGACTTCGTTCAGTTTCCCCATGTTGTTCACGAGTTCTCCACGTACATGTTTCAAGTCTTCGTCTAGGCCTCGCAGTTCCCTAAGGGTAAATTCGAGACCCGGCAAGGGGTGGGCATGGT